TTGGCCAGCTTCTTCTTCAGCGCGGCAAAGTTGGAAACGTCCATGCTAACACCTGCAAAACAACGGTAAAGTCAGACCGAAGGGGTCAACTACAAAAGAAGGGAAATGAGGAAGTACAAGAATCCTAAGTACAATAAAGCAGACCCTTCGGTAACTACCTCCAATGCTACCGAAGGCTCTCTCGAGGACAGGGTACTGTTCGTCCTTTTCACCCAGGAAACGATACCGCCGGAAGCCGAGGGCCAGCAAATCTTCTGGGAGAGTCGAGTCTTTGACGGTCACGTGCTTTGTGGCCCCCGGCAGCAAAGCAGCGATCTTCTTCCCCTCCCTCTGAAGTACGGCATTTCCAACCTTCGGGTGCCGCCGGAAATGGTTGCGCAATTCCCTCGGGAACGGATTTTCCGCCATCTTGATGTAGCAAAAGCGGTCCTTCCATCCTTTGTGGGACGAAGGCACGTCATCAAACAGCCTCCAGGGAGCAAGCTGCTGCAGGTTAGCGAACCCCTCGGAATTGGTGTGCCCCCCTCGGCACAAGTTGAAACTTTGGAAGAATAGGTCGAGGGTCGCGGTTACCCCCCGGGCCCGGCATAGCTGAAGGAATCCTGTGATATAGGAGTGGCTGTTTGGGGTGAGCTGACAGGGGGCCAACCCCACGTACCTGAGGTACTCGAGAAGAAATGGGTGCAGTGGGAACCGAAGGCCCATGGCAACTGATAGCACATGGACGGCGAAGCATCCTTCGGGAGCCTGGGAGAGAAGATCATTGGGCCCCGGTTCAATCACGGTGGCCGAAGGGCCCACATGCACCTGGGTGACGTAACATTCAGCCCGATCAGCTCTCGACTTCAGCGCGAGGGCAGCAGTATTCAGCCACGAATGCCCCTCGGGTATTCCCACGGGCTTCCCGCAGTCAACGGCAGTTTGCTTGCCTTTCGGGGGAGCCTTCGTCTTCTTCCTTTTCTTCCCCACGGCGACACTGAGTGGTTCCGGATCTAGGGGCCGGGAGGTGCTTGCTTCGCCGGCACCACGAAGTGGGAGGACAACAACGGTGACTTCTTGCCTCTCCTTCTCTTCCTCTTCCTCGGCCACCTGAAGCGCGAGGGTCATTTCTTCATCCTCGGCTACCTGCTCGAACTCCTCTGCCTCCAGCTCAACCCGAAGGTTACTCTGTACCTCCTCAGCCACGGCAAGGTCATTATTGGTCGAGGACTGCGCGCTCGATGACTCCGAATCAGAAAAACTCTCTACTGCAGCTGAGGGCTCCTTCGATAAGTCTTGTGAATCGCTGGCAGAAGACATCCTTCGGCGCTTGTCTTTCGAGAAAATCGGGAGAGAAGGAATATCTAATGCCCTAACAGGACTCTAACACTAAATCTAAGGCCGAAGTAGCAAAGTATGCTAAAGAAACGAAGAACTGAAGAAGAACTGACCTTAGAAATGGGGTTTTGACCGAAGCAAAGACTTTCTCTCTCTAGAAATTTTGGCAGAGCTTCGCTATCGCATAAAAACGCACAAGGGAACTGAGCTCCGCCTTGGGGTATTTATAGGCAACTGGGCCTCGAGAACTGGGCCTCGATTCGAAAAGCCATCATTACGCGCCGCCTCACCACCCAATGGGTGGTGACCGCCCACCTTCGACCAACGAGGACACGCCACGTCAACCCCTCTCCCAACGGCTATATTACAACGACTATATTTCGGCAACACTGGGGTGCCTTCGAATGATAGCCTCCGGCTATCACCCGCCACATCCTTCGGACAATGAATTCCACCAAACGCCTCGAGCCTGCGGCAGCATAAGCACCTAGCTTGTCAATGTCGTCACCCCTCGGGTTTGCATCAACACATCATAACTCCTTCAGCCCGAACTAGCCTTCGGCCCAAAGGAGTGGGGGACTGGGATACACCCCTCGGGAATCATACAGGACAGAAACTCCTCATTGACGCATGAAGCCTCCGGGTGAACATCAAAGCAGGACCTTTCGGGTACATACTTCAACACCCCCCTCGGCAGAGGTAGAGTATCAAAATCTTTTCCCAAGTCACTTGGACTTATGAAGCAGCCCTCATCACAACACATTCAGGTTTCCCTAGAAAACCCTCGACATGTGAGGGACTGGGAAAAGCCTTCTGCAGTCATACAAGTGTTATACTGCCCTCAGAAAACCCTCGACATGTGAGGGACTGAGGGAAGCCTTCGGCAATCAGCAGAAGACAGGTTCTCCAGCAAAGGCACCCAGCGAAATGATGAAGCCTCCAGAAGAAGCAACACATCTACTCCTTTTCCCCCAAGTACCTTTCGGCAAAAGGAGTGAGGGACTCCTGATGGAGTATATGGCCCAGGGACCCCCGGCCCATAGACTCCTATTTCTCCTACACAAGTCCATTGAGCTCAGGAAACAACTCAGGCCCAAATACAACGGCCCAAGCCTCAAAGTAGCCCAGAATACGCACTGGGGTGTCTTCGGCCTCCTTGGCCGAAGGCTCCAAAACTCACAGGATAGCCTTCTCTGGCATAAGAAACTGCTGGGAGAAAACGGGCGAGGACATGAGCCTTCGGCATTCTCATGCCTCGGCATCAGGGGAAGCCTTCGGCTGAACCAAACCTTCGGCTACACAAGGAGCCCTCGGCTACACAAGGAGCCCTCGGCTACACAAGGAGCCCTCGGCTACACAAGGAGCCTTCGGCTGAACAAACTCAATCATCGAAGATTCCTTTTAGAGACAGCCAACCACCGCATTTAATGCCGCGTCGCATCCGCCAACCGCATTCAATGCGGTTGACGTACCACTGCCAGTGCCACCAGGCTGATGTGACCCTTCGGTCGTTGGATTACTGACACGTGTCCTCTCATCGCATTTATTGCTGCTATAAATAGCAGCCCATTTCTCCTTGTAAATCATCATCTACATCTCAACTACACACGCTGAGTTCATTTAATAAATCGACTCTCTCTCCTCCTATTTGCTCTGACTTCTCTCTAAGTTATTCCCGCAATAACCCTTCGGATAAGATACCCCCGGGTAGACTATCCATCATCATCTATTTTAAAATTAGCAAGTTATTGCTTACAATTAGTAATTATATAATCTAAGTTGCAAATTACAGTTATGTAAGAAAATGAACGTAGGTGGCGTAGTTTCTTAATTGCTTTAGTTAATCAAATATGGTGGTAAAGCGTTTACTAATTGATCAATATTTATTATTTATCAATCGAGTGGTTGTTAAGCGTTTATCTTTTGAACATTTATTAATATCACATCCTTGTGTAGCAAGTCATAACTACCCATTCGTCGGCCTGAAGCCCTGAAGATCTTCAATCCCAAAAAAAAGGATGACACCCCATCCCTGAGGGCCCCCTAACACCAACTGGACAGCACGATGGGAGGATGTAAGTTGGACTATAATCACAACCTGATAGATAGAGAGTGGGGCTCCGTCCCCGGTACTTGCAGAGGCCCTATGCATTTTTCAGCATAGTAACCCCTTATCGCAGTTGCTGGGATTCGAACTTGAGACCTAACCCTTTTGGCACTCACTTGCTACCAGTTGAGCTACGCCCATCAGTTCAATCCTGGTTTGCAAATTTAATTCCGGTGAGCTTTTCTGCTGGCTCGATTTCCACGATCTCTTTCCAAATTGACTCATACGGACTATGGATGAGAATACATAAGATGTTTTTACTTGGACTGTAATTTGCTGGTCTGGTCTGGTTTCTTTGTATTTTCATAACTAACCAAGTCTGGTCTGTACTGGTCTGATCTGGTCTGGTCTGGGACAAATTACAGTCCAAGTAAAAACATCCATAGTTGTTTAGGGATGATGTTAAGAGTTTTTTCCATTTTCGATCCTTCGACTATTGTGTCATTGACACTTTTTGTTCTTGACTTATAATTTTTACAATTTTAGTCCTCGAGTATTGTTTTAGGGACACTATAAGTCCTGAACTTCAAAGGTTTCTATATTTAGTTCTCCGAGTATTATCAAATTGACATTTTTAGTATTTCCATTAGTGGTGGACTAGTTCCGGGCCGACCGGTCCATGGCACAGCCCGACACTGTTGGGAATCGGTCCGGCCTGGTGGCCCGGCCAGAGACCGGTCTGGGTAGGCCCGGGCCGGGAGTTACACAGGGCGGGTTCGGGTCACCCAAAATAGGAACCGGTCGGGCCCGGTTCGGGCCTTTTTTTTTTGTTTTCCCCGGGTTGGACTTGGTGTTTGGGGGGGGGGGGGGGACCGGACCCGGTGGAAACCAGGGCGGTTTCGGGCTCGAAGCCAAACCCAAAAAGCCTGCCCAGGACCGGCCCGGGACCCGTCCATGTCTACTTTCCACTGTGATTTTGACACAATAAGTGGAAGACTAAAAATGTCATTTTTATAATAGTTGAAGGACCCTTATGAAAGTCGGAACCCCCTAAATATGAAACGTTTCAAAGATGGATATCAAAAGTGTCCCTAGCATAATAGATAAATTATGCTATATGGATATACTAATGATAAGCCCATAAAAGGAAAACGAATCACATTAAATGATTAAATTAAATTATGCTCGTATACTTTTGAAATAAAACTGAAACTAGTAGCTCCATCTTCCTGGAAATTTTGGAGGTAAGGGGAAGGAATAATTGGTTTCCTATTCTACTAATTTATCTTAATTTATTAGTTTTAGAAATACAAATATCTATGTACTTCTATGTACTTCATATTTATAATTATGTTAAATGTAAAAATTATGAGGAAGTATAATTAAATATCATGCGACGGTGTTAATATATATGAAATTATGAAGAACTCCCTCCCCGTTAAGATTTGTCTAATTTCTTTTAGAAAATTTCACTAAAATTATCCCATTTTTTTATTTTGGAAAATCCACTAAGATTATCTTATACTGAATTTGATAAAATTTGTGTGACTTTAAATCACTTTTACTTTATTCTTAATTTAACAATTCAATATCAACCACATAAATTTATTTTTTATTTTAATAATCGCCTTCTTGTCCCAATGTTAGTGGGACGGAAATAGTATATATTCACTGCATTTAATTTGCATATTAATAATAAATCTTCCTCTTTAATCATCTTAAATTACACCCCAAGGAGTAAGGACATTTTTTTTGGTAGGAGGACATTAGTTAGCATTTGACTTTAAAAAGGAACAGTAATAAGTATAACGGCCGGAAAGTGTCATGTCCTAACTGCATCATGTACGCTAAAACGTGCCCAAAATTGGAGCAATGCATCTGGACCTCTCTGGTCAATGATGGGCCTAGAAACTTGAAAGACCAGACAAAGAATCTTCAGGAAGTACGAAATGAGGGCTTCCTTTGGCTAAGAGGACACAATCACCAAGCGTGTCCGGCTTCACCACCAATTCCAGGCCGCGTATTCAGAAGAGGCTGGAGTGCCTTCACCACAATGCCCATGTTTGGCCTAAACTCTGGTTCATATTGCACACACAATGAAGCAACAGCTGCAAACTGCACACCAAACACAAATCAAGCAGCATTCAATCAATTCAGCTATGCCACATTTTTCTGTCCCTTCCTAATTTTAAAGAGAAATTGTCCTCAATAGGAGTAAAAACATTCTGGAATTCCAAAATAGAAATGTCATGTTTTTATTCTAGAAACAATAGTAATTGTTGTCATGCTTTGGTAGTATTAGACTTTAGACATGGCGGTATTTTTCAAATTTGCCAGTAATTACTCCTATTTTGGGGAAAAACATAAGTCCTATTTTGGAATTCCAAAACGTTTTTACTCATATTTCGGGAATTTTCCCCTTTTTAAACCTTTGGTCTCGTGTTTTAACTCGACCGAGCTGTAAGGTGCCTAAGCCAAACCACACTAAATCATCATTCTCTCTGTAAAAGAGTTCGGGCCACAGTCTGCTGGGCTGGACTGCCAGGCCAAACAGGGACAAACCACACTAAAAGATTAAATCCAATTTATTAGTCAGTTCCACTCTATGTCTTGTTAGCCATCACGCTCTCTCTCATTTCAACACAATTAACACAATACTAGTCTTTCTCGGTCTGGATAGAGTAAAGGAAAAGAAAGCTTTTATGTAAAACATATTACTTTTCCAATTGCCCTGGGGGGATACTCCCCTGCCAGTCTTGCATCCACACATTGTCGAACCTTGTCTTCGCTGAGTTTTGGAGTAGCCTAGCAGATGTCACAAAAAGATTCAGAACGTATAAAACGAATATGTGATCTCAAGATATTTTTAGTCATCAGAGGTATAATACCCATGTAACAAGACTTTGTTGGCCTCGGGGTTGGGTCTGATCAACTGGTTTACGCCCTGTGAGCAGCTCAAGGAGTACAACACCAAAACTATACACATCACACTTTGCATTTAGCTGCCCGGTCATTGCATATCTACCCATTCACAAAACCACAAGTTACAGATGCTTCAACATCTACAGCAATACAAGCAACTTCTCACAATGGAGATATATGATGATGATGTGTGCATAAAATAGGCATGAGACCCATATTAGCTTACTCACTCAGGAGCATGATAGCCAAATGTGCCAAGAACACGAGTTGAGTGAAGACGTGCCGCCATTTCAGGAGACTGATTGGATGGATCAAAATCAGCAATTTTAGCTACATAATCATCAAATATTAGTACATTGCTGGATTTGATATCTCGATGCACAAATTCAACTTCAGCCTTTTCATGTAGATATTCAAGGCCTTTAGCTGCTCCTACAGCAATCTTAACTCGCTGTGTCCAGGAAAGCACAGGGCCAGGCTGTGCTCCTTTTACACCCTTCCTCCCTGAAAATATGGAAGTTGAAAGACTAAGGCAAATAGCAATACTTGGAATCTGAAAACATGCCTCAAAGTTTTAGAAGTGAAATTTTCACCTGCTCTATTCTAAGTCTTACATTCTTTTACAATTAAACAAAGAAAGAGTCAATACTCAATAACAAGGCATGTTTCGTTGTACAACTTAGCTTAGTTGGTATGTTTAGCATAACCAATCTATAAATATATATTTGATGTTCACTAAAAGGAACACTGCAAATAAATTTAGAAAAACAATCAACTGAACCAGACATGTGTCATTTACCGCTTAGAGCAGCAAAAAGTTATTATCCTGAACCAGACATGTGTCATTTACCGCTTAGAGCAGCAAAAAGTTATTATCCTGGATAATATATTCAAATGTCAGAAAAAAGATCGATACATACCATGAAGAATATCATGAAGTGATCCATTGGATGCAAATTCATAGGCAAGAACACGTTGTTTCCCATCAATACAATAGCCCAGTAACTCGACAAAATTTTCATGCTTTAACCTTGAAACCAAGGAAACCTGTAAACAATGAATGCTTAGTTGTATTTTCGAGTGAGGCAAAAAAAGTGGTTTCCAATATTCAAAAGTACCTCCGCCAAAAATTCATCTTCAGGTTGTTTGCTTGAATCCAAATTTTTAATTGCAGCAGCCCTCCCAGTTTTGAGGTCTCCGTAATACACTCTTCCGTATGAACCTTCCCCTATTAAAGTCGCATTCCCAAAATTATCTGTGATCTCCCTAAGTTCATCAATGGGAATTGCGGGGACTGCAATAAGCTTAGGTTTCACAGCTTCAACACGACCAGCTGGTGCCTCTTTGTTGTGATAAGTTCTATCTTTACCTGCAGCAAATTAAAATATCAATCTTATGTTGAGGTAGAGTACGTAACATCCTCCTGGGCCCTGCTTCCACCTGGGACTCTGGGAATGTTTGGTTTGGAGCAGTTATATTAACCTATAAAACATACTAACATTATTTGTTCAGATATCAATAGACTCAATACCATAAAAATCCCAAGACTCTGAATAGGAGCTCATATACAATACACATGTACAATGGTACAATAAAATAAAAATATTATTTGAATAAAGGAAAGAAAATAGTACGGAGTGTGCAAAACAAATATCCGTTTCAGCAAAACAATAGCTCTACACTGAGTTTTTCATTATCAGCCAAATCAGCAGGGGCAATGACATATGAAAGTGTTTGGTACACAAAATAGGCTTAGCCAAATCAACCCTACCAAATGAAATAAAAGTATAGAGGAAGCGCTGAAAGGACAGCAAGATTGATAATAAGTTGACATTTTCACAATGAAACTGTTATTGGAGCATATTTAGTCAATAACTCATATCCTGAAGTCACGGACCTAAGGGAGGCTCACCATGGAAAAAAAAGTAGATTCAATTATTTTCCTTTTAATAGTGGTACCATTATTCAAGTCCCACACTAAGTAGTAATGCAATAAGTTGAGCTGACATACGTGTTGATCTTTTCAATGGATGCTGGTCTCCTCCATCAGATATCGGATTGAAATCAACTCCCTTAAAACAGCTAAAGCAGCTCATAGATTGATCTCCTTATGTAGACTGCAAAAAAACAAAACAAAATAGCTTCATTTAAGATCAAAGTTTCAGTTAGAGTCTAATTTCTAAATTTTCATTGGTCGTAAGGGAAACACAAAAACCAGTAGCAAGAAAATTGCCTTCTATAGAGGAAATGATTTAATCAAATAAAATAGTATAAAAAAGAGGAGCCGGACAGAAAGATGTTTCTCTTGTATCAGTGAACAAATGGCAGACTTCATTGTGCGTCGAAATTGACAGCAAACAGGATAGAAGTTAGAAGATTCAAGGTGTCGACCCCAGACTCAAAAGCTGAATAGTCATAAGATAAGTAGATTAGCACATGGAATGGAGTTATCATCTCCCATGCAATTCTGAAGTGCGTGCATGTGCACATTTTCATTTCCTTCTCTGTAACAGCATTGAAAACAACAATAACATCTCTCTTTGATCTCAAACAGAATGTCTTTTCTTAAATTGGAAACCCATAAGCCTGTTTGAAAATCTTAACTAAATTCCTAGTATCAAGTTCTTCAATGTTTTGGAATCTGATACTTATATCCAACTAGAAAAAACTACAGTAAGTTTTCCTATACAAAATAGCATTTGACAATTGTATTTGGCAATTGAAACTAGCCATGAGTGTCAAGAAAGTGACTAGATGCCCTAAATTGGGAATGTTTAATCAATGATAAAGTCTTTGTTCTCTTAGGCTCAAAGGGGCAGACATAATTTCCCTATTCTTTAGTTTCTCATTAGAATAAGTAGAATAAGTAACTTCTGACTTGCGTTTTTACTGCTAAGATGGATGTTACCAAAAGCTATGACTTAGAGAAAAATTACCAGTTTCATCCAAATAACCCCTACCAAACAGAACCTTACATAATATGAAGAAGCCCATAACGCCCGTCTCATGGTATGCCTGATCTTTGTTGGACAAAGTGTACTTTGTTCAACTCTAAAATGAGGTGGGATGAATGGTAAACACGATGGTAAGGCCTGAAAACACTGACTGGGTAAGTGGTAATGAAAATATGAGATGATCCCCACACAATAAACACAAAAAACATAGTGGGCCTGCCTGCCATACGGGATTCGGCAAGTTGGCTTGTGCAATTGCAATTTCGATTGAGTGTGAAATGTACACCCCACTACTAATGGATGAGTGGCATGCAGTTCAGATTCCTGTCTACTTTTAGGGACAACGAGCATAATAACATCATCACATCGAACATCATCAACAATTCAACACAAAAGGAAAATGGACTCACGGATAAAACCTGCTCGGGAAATGTCAGACGACAACTGTGGAATGGTGAAGCCAGCCGGAACCTGGTACAGTGGAGACGAATGCCTTCTTCAACGGACCAAGAGGATTGCTCCAGCCGGAGTGATCGGGGTTTTGATTATTGAAGGACCGAATTTCCAAAGGCGGATATTAATGCGCAAATCAAGCAAGATAATATGAACAGGGCGGGGAATATTTGCAGTAAAAGTCGTGATTAAGGATGTTTTTACTTATTCGTCCCAGACCAGACCAGACCAGACTAGACCAGTCCAGACCAGACCAGACCAGTTCAGACCAGACCAGACCAGACTTGGATAGTTATAAAAATACAAACAAACCAGACCTTACCAGACCAGACCAGTTCAGACCAGACCAGACCAGATCAGACCAGACCAGACCAGACCAGCAAATTACAGTAAAAACATCCTAACTAGCTAATTGTACTCCGTAATGAGTACGGGTAGGAGATTGGGAATAACAGAAAGCAATCAAGGGGATAATTAATAATTTATGACTGAATGATCTTCTGTAAATTATTGAACATTCATTAATGATTTTGACTTCTGTTACACAACAAAAAATAGGTTAAGCGTTTGTTTTTTTCTAGTTGCAAACTTGCAAATTGTAGTGTCATTACGCGACAGTTTTTACACGTAGGTCAGGTTGTTTGCTATATGTGTACAAATAATTTGTCCGGCGTTTAATGAAGAAAATCAATTTTCACACAGACAAAATAAAAAATTTGTCTGTATCACATACATTTTAAAATTCTCGTTTCAAATTGTCTGTATCACAGACATTTTATGAAAATTTCTCTTCTAAAATGTGTGTGATACATACAACTTTTTATTTTTGTCTGTGTGAAAATCGGTTTACTTCATAAAACGCCGATCAAATTGTCTGTACACGGACAATTTGACCGGCATGTACACAAAGCGGGACTCTTTGAACATTGAGTGTACTCGATTCCGAACTGAACTCGAACCGGAATAAAATCGTCAATTTTTGGTTCCAAATTTCGGAGAATTAGAATTGAAAGTCTAAAACCGCACGGTACTAGTTTCAAGAAAAATGCTTGGTGTACGCAAAAGTTGTACACAAAAGTTGTACACTTGTCTGTTCCCTGCAAACAAATTGTCAGTCCGGAGATGAGTTGTTTGTGGAACAGACAATTTGTTTGCGGGGGACAAGCAAGTGTACAACTTTTGTGTACACCAAGCTCCACTCTAGTTTCAAAACTGGCGGTTCATGTTATTTATCAATTTTTGTTTTTTAGAGATTAAAGTTTGGTTGGTTTTTGAAATAAAATTAAAAATAACCAATATGATTATTCAAATAAGTGTTCCCAAAACTACTAGTATAACTAATATTTATCATTATTGTTAATAAACACAATAATAACATACTAAGTAGTTAATATCTAAGTAGTTTTTATTAAGTAGTTATATGATATGACCCTTAAGTAATTTAAACAAATACAAGAGCGGGAGCTGCATCTCAAACGAAGGAAGGAGTACGAGTACTCTTGATGGGCCAGTTGAATAAAAAAAACTATAGTTGGGCCGTATCTACTTATTATTATTACACTCTTTTTCTATGTTTAGACCCATTTGTGTAATTGGGCCGAGACTACTTACTATTTAAATATATGAATGGCAGATAGGGAATAAAACAAGTATTACCCCTTTATCATTTTTTTTCTCTTCCTTACTCTCTCCACACTTTCCTGCTCATTTCTATCTAACTGTACGGACTTCTTCTTCTATCTCCTTCCCAATTTCTTATCTTCTGCACGAACCATAACATTTGGTATCAGAGCTGTTCTGATCCAGGTAGATGGCGGAGGGTACCAGACTGAAGGAATGTCTAGATGGTCAGAAGAGGATCGAGCAGTCCCTTTTAGCTGAAACTCCGAAACGTGAAACTGCTGAACAAAAGCAAGGAGAGATTCAGATGAAAATTCTTAAACAGCTGGATAATATACAGAAGAGGATGGAGGTCATTGAGATTAGATCTGAACCGCATACTTCCACACACTCACCTCATGGTAAGGAACATTCTGGAGGCATTTTCACTGATGAGAATCCCTTTGCTACAGAGCCTTCTATTCTGGGGAAGCCGCCATTCACAATGGACCTGCACAACCATCAACATGATAGATCATACCAAAGATTTAACAACATTGGTAATACAGGTAATCATCAACCACACCTTCCCTTCCCTAAGCTAGATTTCCCCAAGTTTGATGGATCTAATCCACGCGCGTGGACAATCAAATGCCAAGGGTATTTTAAACTGATGCCCCATCTCCCTAAGGATCAGCATGTTACATTAGCTATTATGCACTTTTAAGGAAGAGCATTAGCTTGGTACCAACATCTAGAGAATAATATCACTATGTTAACATGGGACCAGTTCATGGGGGTCATATCATCACGATTTGAGGGAATAAAGGAATCATCAGTCATTGAGGACTTTAACAAACTGGAAATGGGTAATGATTATGAGAGTTATGTGGAAAGATTTGAAGATTTGAAATCTTGTATGTTGTTATTGAACAAAGGGGCATTCACTGAGCAATACTTTATTGCTAGTTTTGTTAGTGGGTTATCTGAAGAATTGAAATCCTTTGTTAAACCGTTTAAGCCTATTGAATTGGCTATTGAATTGGTCAGGCATCAATTTTCAGCATTGGATACCCTTACCAGGAGGATTAAATTGGGGGGGGGGGAGCAACCTATACTCCACCCAATCCTCTCGGGAGGGGAGAAACATCCATGATTTCCCATAAAGGACTTAACCAAACTCCACCCTTCAAGTTGCTAACACCTGCAGAGATGACAACAAGAAGAGAAAAGAGATTATGTTTTAATTGTGATGAGAAATTCACTCCTAGGCATAGGTGCAAGCAGAGGCATGTCTATGTGTTATTAACAGGGGATGGTCCAGAATTCCCTACCCCGGACACACTGCAAGAAGAGGAAGAGGTGGGCAACTTAGATGAAGTACTACTAACCTTGGGTGCTAATAGCAAGACCAAGGGAACCACCACCATGACAATGTGGGGGAGATCTGGTAAACACAGGCTACACATACTCATTGATTCAGGGGCTTCCTGAGTTTTATCAGCCAGAACACAGTGCAAAAGTTAGGAAGTAAGGAAGTAGAGGCCAAACCCATAAGGGTTACTACTGCAGAGGGCAACAAGATGAACAACATCACTCAGGTGATTGACTTAAAATGGGAGATGCAACAACATACCTTTGGTTATACCTTTAGGGTTCTTGATACCAATGAGTTTGACCTAATCTTGGGTGGAGACTGGCTCAGGGATCTAACCTTAGTAAAGTATGATTATCACAAAATGTTTGTCACTGTGACTTCAAGGGATGCTCAGATTGAATTGCAGTGTGAAGACAGATGCCCTCTAATCACTAGCCATATGCTATACCAAACCATTTGTGAGGAGAAACCAAGTTCAGTGGAAGAGGTCTATTGGGTTAAGCTAAAAGAGCCTGGAATAGAACCACCTGAAGAATTACTGGAACTATTAAGAGAATTTGAAGATGTGTTTGATAAACCTACTACATTACCACCCCTAAGAGGTGTTGAGCACCAAATATTACTAACAACTGGGAGTTTACCTAAACAACAATACCCTTATAGGGTTTCCCACAGCCAGAAGGATGAAATAGAAAAGATAGTTGCAGAACTCCTGGCAATTGGGGAAATTCAACCTAGCAAGAGCCCGTTTTAATCACCCGTGCTTTTGGTGAAAAAGAAAGATGGTAGTTGAAGGATGTGTGTAGACTACAGGTACCTCAAAAACTTAACTGTGACACATGACTACCTCATCCCTGTTATTGATGAGATACTAGATGAGCTTAAGGGAGCCAGATTCTTCTCTAAAATTGATCTGAGGTCAGGATACTTCCAGATACTCATGGCACCTGAACATAGGTACCTGACTGCATTCATAACTCACCATGGGCACTACGAGTTCCTAGTTATGCCCTTTGGGCTCTGTAATGCCCCAACTACATTTCTATCACTAATGAACCAAGTGTTCAAAGATCAGTTGAGAAAAACAGTCCTTATGTTCTTTGATGACATCCTAATATACAACCCTACCTTCCAGCAACATCTACAAGACCTTAAGTTGGCACTAGAGACTTTGAGGAAACATATGAAAAGAAGAGTAAATACATGTTTGGTCAAGAAACAATCTCATATCCGGGACATATCATCTCCCATACTGGGGTGGCTACTAACCCATAAAAAGTTGAAAGTATGCTCAGTTGGCCCACCCCAACTAACCTAAAAGAACTAAGGGGTTCCTAGGACTGACAGGATACTACAGAAAGTTTGTCAAGGGACATGGGATAACCAGCAGGCCATTGACATCCTTATTGAAGAAAGGGGGATTCCATTGGAACTCAGAGGTAGAACAAGCTTTAAGAGAGCTAAAAGCTGCAATGATCACCACACTAGTGCTAGCACTTCCAAACTTCTCCAAACCCTTCATTCTGGAGACTCATGCTAGTGGGGGTGGCATAGGGGCAGTCCTTATGCAAGAGGGAAGGCCTATAGCCTTCATAAGTAAGAAACTGGGTATTAGACACTTGGGGCTTTCAGTTTATGAAAAGGAGTTCTTGGCAGTACTCATGGCCATCCAGAAATGGAGGCACTACTTACAAGGAAATAAATTCATCATCAAAACTGATCAACAGGCCCTGAAACACTTGTTAGACCAGAAAGTTACTACTCCACTACAACAAAAGTGGATAACAAAGCTTCTGGGGCTTGACTATGAGATACTTTATAAAAAAAGGTGGGGAATAGAGTGGTTGATGCCCTATCAAGGAGAGAAGCACAAGAAACAGGTTGCTGGTCACTCTCCACATTTAAGCCCTTATGGGTACAACAAGTGTTAACTAGCTATGAAGGAGACCCAGTTACTACCCAAATCCTAAGTGACAAACTCAAAGACTCGGCAACTCATCCTGACTTTGAGTTCATTAGTAGAGTTATTAGGAACAAGGGCAGACTGGTTATTGGTAAGGCTACTGACCTTAGATATATTATTTTAAAGAGCTACACTCTTCAGCAATTGGTGGACACTCAGGGATACAAGGGACTTATATGAGAATAAAAAGGGCATTTTACTGGCCAAGGATGAAAAGTGATATTACACTTTGGACAAAAGAGTGTGAAGTATGTGCTAAAACTAAACCGTAAAGGGGATGTTACCCAGACTTACTTCAACCCCTATCCATCCCTGACCAAGCTTGGAGTCATATAAGCATGGATTTCATTGAAGGACTTCCTAAATCCCAGGGTAAAGATGTCATATTAGTAGTTGTGGACAGGCTCACTAAGTATGGACATTTTCTGCCCCTCTCCCACCCTTATACAGCAACCTCAGTAGCCAAACTATTCCTAGACAACCACTGGATATCCTCACTGATAGAGATGTTGTATTCCTGAGTATATTTTGGA